AATTGAAAGCAAAGAAAGGTAGTCATTGAAAAAACAAGATTAAACCTGAAAGAAGTCTTTCTAAAAGTAGTAAGGTATGATGTTAAATTTTCAGAGCTGACAAGGAAAAATCGAAATTCCAACAAGAAGTATACGAACTCCTCGCTCAACTGGACAGTGTCACCAAAGAAAAGTTGATGTCCATAAAGACCGTAGAGAAGCTGGAGATACATGTAGCTGAGCTTAACGTGAAAATCGAAGAACTGAACCGCACCATCGTCGATATCACCAGCCACAAAACCAGGCTGTCGCAGGAGAATATCGAACTTACAAAGGAAGTGCAGGACCTGAAGGTATGCAACTATTTCTGTAATAATATAAACTAAATAGAACTTTATTTATATTTATACAAATTAAAAATAACTGTGTCTATAATAATACAAAGTATACAGAATCATGTCTATAATAATACAAACTAAATAGAACCATGTTTGTAATAATACAAAACCAAGTTAATTGTCACACCTCAAGTTCATATTTTTATTTACATACATTTGTTTTTTACATATAAAAAATAAAAAAGAAATGAGTAATTTGATGCAATTATTTTATTTTTGTACTAATTTGTTATCTTGTAAATGTTACAGGTCAACATCGAGAACGTTGTTTACCTGAAGACCCAGATCGCAGGTCAGCTCGAGGATGCTCGCCGTCGTCTCGAAGATGAAGAACGCCGTCGTTCATTGGTCGAAGCTTCCTTACATCAGGTATAACTCCTTGAAAATGTCTAAATTTCGATAAAATATTTAAGAAAGAAACTGTATTTCTCTAAATACAGAAACTGCATTTTAAAAGTATACAAAAAGTATAGAACACCAGTTCTGATATCCGTGACATTTTAGTTTAGCACGTGGCGCCTTTTGTGTTTCATCATTGAATAAAATTTCTAATTAATCAACAGGTGGAAACGGAACTGGAATCCGTTCGCATTCAACTGGAAGAAGAATCCGAAGCTCGTTTGGACATTGAACGCCAATTGGTCAAGGCCAATGGCGAAGTACAAGTTTGGAGATCGAAATACGAAACTGAAGCCAACGCTCGCGCTGAAGAGGTAAAATCTTAATCAGATTCGTCATAATACTATTTATAAATATTTCTTTCATCAAATTTAATTGTGAACAAAATGGACTAGCAATAACATAATTTTAATTGTAATATAGGTCGAAGAATTGCGTCGTAAATATGGAGCTCGTATCCAGGAACAAGAAGAGCAAATCGAAACCCTGCTCGTGAAGATTAACAACCTTGAAAAACAGAAGTCTCGCCTGCAATCTGAAGTGGAAGTCTTGATCATTGACTTGGAAAAGGTAATACTTCAATACCTCTACTATTTTAAGATCATTGTACACAATATTAACATTCATTCATAATAACATACATTTCTTTTAATAATTTCGAGGAGCATTCTCAATGGTAAGACCATTCAATCGACAAGGTTGTTCAATATTTCTTCCCTTTAATTATTAATTATTTTGTACTTCAGGCTAATGGAACAGCTCGGGAACTCCAAAAACGCGTGGAACAATTGGAGAAGATCAATATCGAACTTAAGTCTCGTTTGGATGAATCAATGGCGATGTACGAACAAAGCCAACGTGATCTCCGCAACAAACAACAGGAACTCCAACGCACCAATGCTGAACTCGATAAGACTCGTGAGATGAAGGACCAACTGGCTCGTGAGAACAAGAAATTGGCTGGTACGTTGTTACTACAACTTTTTTATTATCGAAGTAAAAGCAGGGTTTCTAGATAGAACAAGATGTCTGCGATATTTGCTTAATTTATGAATACCAACTTATTTATATGGGATGTTTCTATGTCAGAGGATATTAATTTCATTATTCGATTGTTTCAGATGACCTTGGTGACGCCAAGAACCAACTGGCTGACATGAACCGCAGACTGCACGAACTGGAACTGGAACTCCGTCGTCTGGAGAACGAACGCGAAGAACTTGCTGCTGCTTACAAGGAAGCTGAAGCAGTGAGTATTCTAGAAATATTTAACCTGCTATTGAATTGCTCAATCGTCGTTCGAACAAATAATATTTTACCTTGTTTGTGACAATTTTTTTTAATCCTCTACAATTTCATTTAGACGTTGGAGAAAATTATAGAGAAAAACTGTGAATATAGTTATCAAAACATTTATTGAAATATTTTTACTTTCTGCAAATGCAAAGTTTACTTCAATATTTTTATTCTCTTCAAAGTTCCATAAGAAAACATTACATGACAGAACCTTCTTGTGAAGAGCTTTAATTAATATTTAACTAGTAATTGTATACTTATGAACCAGTCTAAAATATTCAAGTTATCAAACAATTCTACAGTATCCTAATACTGAATTGAAGAATATCTTCTATCTTCATAAACACTTTTAAAAAGACACAATTCTGAAGGAACGTAGATCTACTTAAGTACGATGATAGTACATCTGTAGAATTTTTATTTTATTTTCATTCTACCCACGTATTCCTGAATGATTTCTTTAAAAATGTGAATCGATTATAGGGTCGCAAGATTGAAGAACAACGTTCTCAGAGATTGTCTGCTGAATTAACTCAACTCCGCCATGACTACGAACGTCGTTTGACTGAGAAGGATGAAGAAATTGAAGCCATCCGGTAAGTACCATTATTTTTATTTACAACAGTAGATCTGTTACAATTTTTCTTACAATAATTTAATTTGGTATATTATGGACGTAACATAAATTCATTGCAAAAGAAGAAACTTTGCATTCCATTTCTTCTCACCTGGTTCACTATGATATTTTTGATAGAAACAGAAAATTTCATGCTGAAAGAGAAATTCTGTGAATTTTTGTTACGACACAATAGTTACACAAACTTGCAATTTTTATTTGCATAACATTTCTTTTTTTCATACTTTGCTTTAAATACGTTAAGTGTATACGTATACGTTAGTGCTATTAATATTTTGTTTAATAAGTTGTTTTTTTAGCCAACATTACAGTTTCCAGGTGATACTTAATGAAGTATACTAACAATTCCATATATTCAAATACTCAAAGCAATTCTATTTTTTATTGACTTCTTGCAAATTTTTAAAAGTTTTCATCAGTAATATGTTAATCTAAAAACTTTTATTATTGAAAGGTGAAAGCCAAGTATATTTTTAAATGGTATGCTTCAGGTATATTATATAATATTTGTTACTGATTATTAATCAATAGTCTGATGCATAAATGATCTGTTGTGTTATTTATACTGTGCCGTAACACTTGGCACCATTTTTCACATTGGTGCTCTAAGGTGCAGCGTAGACATTTTAAAGGTGAAGGATAAGAAGTGAAATTTAGAACAAATATTCTTCCTTCTACCCTTACCAATAATCCAACGAAAACACTGTAAGAAAACTTTTATTTGTTTTCAATTTCGAACAGAGGAAACCGTAGATTTATCGTTGAGGAAGTAGACTTCTGTTTTCGTACATAAGAGACAAAATTGAACGAAAATGGTAGGAAACTTGTACATTCGCCCTTAGTACACTCAAACTTACTTGGTACACTAAGTAAACGAACTTCAAACTTAACACTAAAGTTAACACTAATGTTAATGATCTCAACTCTAAACAAGCATTAAAATATTTTACGTACACTGAGTTTAAAGAAAGGGTAAAATTTAATAAATAAAGCAGCGTATTATCGTTCATCTTGATGATAATTAACATTTATACAAAAATACCCTAATATAAATAAATAAGAATACAAATAAGAATTAATAGGAATATAATTTGAAAAGTGAACAAATTTACTGGTCATCGTTTTGGCAAATTTAATTCTTCCAACTAATAGTTAAACTAATAGTAAATAGATTATTCTCAGAGCAAATATGTATCTGAAAAAAATATCGATACAGAGCACGAATTTTTATCTACCGACGCAGTCTATTGTATTTCCGGTACAACCACCGCGATGTACAACTATTAATAACCCAAGGTTAGCATTGTCAGCGATCAGTCAAATAGATTAATCACGGTGGGTGTCTTTAGACAGTTCAGACGATCAAAGGAATCGCCTGACTTGATTTATTTATTTATTTATACACATAACTGTAAATACACAAAATGTGCTGGGTGCCAACGTCGAAGCGTCATTGAGTGACGGTCAAGTACAATGGCTTTTTTATGGATTGGATAATTTTAGATGTTCGGTACATAGATCGTGTTATTGTGAATGAAGAACAAGAATAGAACGAGGAATTGGTTCGAAGAAGAATGTGGAAGATAAAGAGGAAGTTGATGATATGTTTTCTTCTGCAAAAGGAAATTGATATGAAATATAAAATACATCTGATGATGTATATTTGATCAGCATAAAATTTCGATTTAATGGTGGATGAAGAAGAATTTGATGAAAAGATTCAATTAAGAAGATGTGAGATAATGAGATATGAAAGGGTGTGGAATTTAAATTGTAAAAGTCAGAGATATTTTCCTAATTCCTAAGCTTTCCAATTTTTCAATTTTCCATTTCTCTAATTTTCTAATTTTTTAATTTCCCAATTTCGCTACTTTTCAATTTTCCAATTTTCCATTTCTTTATTTTCTCTTTTTTCAATTTTTTTATTTTTCTATTTTCACGCTTTCCAATTTTTCAATTTTTCAATTCTTCATTTCTTCAAATTTTCAATTTTTGAATGTTTCAATTCTTCAATTTTTCGATTTTTCGATTTTTCAATTTTTCAATTTTTTAATTTTTCAATTTTTCCATTTTTCAATTTTTTAATTTTTCCATTTTTTAATATTACAATTTTTCAATTTTTCAATTCTCCAATTTTTCAATTGTTCATTTCTTCAATTGTTCTTCCAAAATTTTTCTTTCACTCTACTTCAAATATATTACATATTTCTAAAACACTAACCTTGCAGATTCTCAAATTTTTCACTATGAACTTCTCGAGCTTCATAATTCAATAAATATCCCATATTTCCAAATCATCAAATCTATTTCACTTCCATTTTGATGAACTTACTTTTGATTACATTCAATATATCATACAATGTATGATAAATCAATCCTATAAAACACAAGTAATCATGTACTTAAAAATTATTTCATCGTTCAACTGAAAACCTTCGACTTTGAAAAACAAACAAGATAACCAATCAATATTTCGCACCAACTGGATTAATTTCGTCCCGATATGACTCACCGGCACTTTTTGGATCACGTAGGAGTGATACTTATTCAGTGCGCAACCCTTCTATTAATAAACGTCGTTCAAAACCGATTAGTCGCGATCCAATTATTACTGGCAGGTGCTGATTGGCCGGCCTCAATGTGGCAATCGTAAGAAAAACCTACAAAAGATAGCACCGCTCGCGGTCGGCCCAATTTTTCTCGACCATTTCAAGTGTCACCTCTGATCATCTAACTATGAAATATCCGTGAGTAAAATCCGACGAATACTCCCCCAAACCCCTGTATCTAACACTCTGTTCAACAATCCCTAAAAACGTAACAGAATACTCAGTGCCTAATTTCTATTCAAGGTAAAAGTTGGATGAATTAACTATACCCACATACCCGAACCAATCCAGTAAGCTGATCAATATTAATCGATCAATAAACAAAAAGCGAGGAGTAAAAAGGTGTCAGTGATTTAAACTTGCAATAAATTTTATCGTAAAATATTTGCAACGAGATCATTTGGATGAAAAGTGGAAGAAAGTTCGAATTGTTAAATTGAGACAAAGATCCACATCGAGTGAAGTTCAGCAAATATGGCAGGGTACACACCGCCCATGTACATACCCCCGGAGCCTAAATGGAAGCACTGGCCCACCTACATCTACGACCGGAACTACAGCGCTGGGATAAATTATTATCAGCCGATGCTCGAATACCTAGATCGTAGAGACAAGTCGTCGAGGGATTATCGAGGTTCGAGATCGGAGCCACCGGAGTTACCGTGGTCCGATGGCAGGGTTCTATGGGAGGACAAACCCGTGGAACCCTATTCCAGACACGAGCTGATCAAACGAGCGATCGACGCGGAAGACGAGGCCAGGGAACACCTGTCTCACTTCAAGGTACGAAGCTGCAAACAGCGAAAGCTGACCCGAAGCGAGTAGAAAAGCGTTCCGTGACTCGACGACTGTCTGACCTTTCGAGTTTCTAAATTTGGAGTGGACCTAGCTCGGTGTCAAATGCCGCGGAGCTTCGTCAATTGATGCGAATGCGACTAGGGAATTCCTGCGGGGGAAAGTCACGGTCTCGGTTAACTTTTGGTGTTAAGGTGGCGGTGGGAGTCGGTGGTGGAGGTCTCTGTTTTTCGAATCGGGGGTTTTGTTAGATAGAAGGTTTTTTATAGTAATTTTACTATAGGAATTATAGTAATTGTACTGTAGTATAGTGACTCTACTATACCAATCGTAATAACTTTACTATACCAACCATAATAACTCAACTATACTAATTATAATAATTCTACTATCGTAGTATATTAGTACCAGCACTATGGTAGTTACAGAAGTTATTCTAAGATGGCCGCTGTCACATATTCACAATTTTGACTCAACCTTTCGCTACCTTGTCTGTTATTTTCTTCACCGTATCTTCACCTATTCTATCGAATGCTAATACAATATAAAATTAAAAATCTCACAGCGTATATTAAGTGACATTCACAAATATGACTCAGTAATGTCCACAAGTATAAAAAAGTATACATGAAATTGCAAGAATTTGAACGCACAAAATCTACAGCCATCAAAGTGTTGAAGTAGAACCTAACCTATCATATACTCGTATCGCAAGTTGAAGACAAATGTAAAATACATCTTCACGAAGTTATACTCATAATGTTAAGACAAACTATTTAAAGTATTAACTTCGTCATAATGGATAACATATGTACATTGTGTCTACATACACAAATCAATGTTTGTTAAAAGCTGGACTTATACTACTGTGATTCTCGACGTCTCAAATGACTGACATATTGACTACTACATTAAAAATATTAACTCGTGGTAGTTCACAATGATTTTCAAGATGTGGACTAAAGTCTGTAAAATTTTAAGAAATTCAGAAAAAGAAGCTTGTTTTTGTAAATCATCAACAGGTGGTTTGAAAACAAAAAATTTTCAGAAAAACCTTTCAAAGTTTCTAAAATAAAATCATAGAATTTTGTTCAGATAAACAGAACCACAAAAAATGACAAATTTTTGTCATAAAATATTATCTATAATTTTCATAATATTTAATCATATCTTTCATTAATAACTTCAAGTATCTGATATGAATATTCCTAATTAAAAAAGTTAAAGTTACTAATAATATGAATGATGTATACTTATAGGAATTCAAACCTCTACATACAGATATGTGGATGATGTGGTAGTCAGTGTGTAAATACGTATTGTCAGCATTGTTGATGTTAATTGACAAGTCGTGTTTGCCTCTCGCGTCAACAACTCATATTTATAAATATTACATTCAGTTTCGAGTTACTGTTCGATGTCCAATCAACGTACGTATACATATATCGATGTTCTGACTATCATTGTTAATACTTTATTAATGTTACGTAAGGAAGTTAAGTATGGTCTTTAAAAATTGCAAAAATGTTTATGAAAGAATTGAAAGTTGGAACTTGAAAATAAACTTAAGGATTTAAAAAATTCTGTAAATTAGATATTTAAGAAAATTTTCAATTTAATGATTAGCTACCACAAGACTTACAAATTTAAAGCTTATAGAATTAAAAAATTTTAAAATTATACGACAAAAAAATTTGAACATCAGATTCTAAAATTTGACATTTGATACCTCGGTTATTAAAAACTTTGTAAAGTCATAAATTTCTAAATTTGAAAATTGAAAATCAATATTGAAATATTAATAACAGTGTTGACAATATATATAGATCACAACTGAATATTGCCAATATTATCGGAAGTGTCCCTAAGAAGTGACAATTTCCAAAAATGGCTTACCTAACCATTAATCGCGATAGTCAACTTTGATGATCCACCGTAAATCTCGAACGCAATGAAAATCACATAGCCGTAATAAGAATTCATATTTCCATTCGTTCCAATAACTTCGGTCCTCTGGTTCCGATTGCCGCCCCACTGTCACGAAAGTTTAATTTAAGATCGTCCCGGCGTGCGATTGCCAGCGTTCAGAATCTTCTCTCGCGTAAGATTCGAGGAACGCGCGCAGAAAGCGGAAATCCCTGATCGGCTTATTGTTATTAATACCTCTCGCCAAGTAGCCGTCGACCCCTTCGACGTTTCGGAATCGCCATGAACCGTCCCAAATAAAAATATCGCGGAAGCGAATTCGAATCGTTGGCAGGCGATTATTTGGATCGTTCGTCGAGGAACAAAACCGAAGCAATCGAGAGGGTGTCTGCCAAGTGAGCGTGCGTGTATCAAAAAGAAAAGTCCATCTCTCGAATCCCAGCTGGGAGAAGTTAAGCTCGCAAACCAGTTGGCTCGGATTGGCAGTCGTTCTCGAGTCTCTAGAGAGGTTCGATCTCGAGTGCTACGGTCATTTTCGAGTTCCGAACCGCTGCAGCTAAGTTTAGTCTCAGCTCTGGGATCGCAGAGGGTGTATAGGCACGGCCCGTGAACAGCTTTCTCTCGTTTCGCTCGCGTCTTATCCCCTTCAGGAACTTACGTGTTTTCCCGTGTCCAAAGATAGCGAATCGCTCGGACTTCAGCTTGTCGAAGACAGCGCAAGCCAGCCACGTGACTAGAGAGGTGTTCCCACGAAAACTCGAAGAGATCCGATTGAGACCGTTACCTCTGTTCGTGAAGAGCGCGCGGGCCAGAAGCGAAGCCAGGAACATCCAACGGGAAATGGCCGACATCGATTTCCAGTCGCTCAAGGACGTGCAGAACATGTCGGACGTGCAGGACGCGTACGATCACGGGAGAAGTCTGCGCGGCAAATCGGCCAAGGCGATCGAGTTCTATCTGAGAGCGGAGGCCCTCAAGAATCTGAGCAAGAGTCAGGAACTGGCGGACATCAGGAAGTTCCAGAGAGAGAACCTGTCCGTTTTGTGGGACGGTAGGGAACACCTCCGACTCATGGATGAAAGGACCAGGAATCTGATCGACGAGGACAGATTGACCGCTCCTTTGAACAGCCTGAGCAGAGAGCTGAAAGGATACGAGGAGAAGTCGAGCAACTACTTCCTGAACAAGAGGTACCAACGACTCTTAAGACCCAAACGATTGTACGGATGCCTGGGAATTAGACCCTCTTGATGGACGTGTCCATCCACGGTAGATTTAATGTCGTAGTTACATGTGGGTAAAAAATGTGACACGAAACGATCTAATGATATATGATACCAATAAACGACACAGATTTGATTATACTCGATGAGATTCGGCTGCTTTTGATTCGGGGTCATCGTAGATGTAGAGGAGATCATCGGGACGGGATTCTTTTCATTGATACATCATTGATTCTGGTTAGAGTAGATTTTAAATTCGTACTCTGTAGGTTCGATACCCGCTGGGCATTGCAATCGTCTTTTATGGGAGACGAGCTGCTCCGGGATGGAACGAAGAATGCTGAAATATTGTACATGCTACCTCCCTCCCTTGCAACCTTTCTGTCGTGGTAACAGGAATGGTAATGCCTTTCGATTACTTTGTGGGTAAACTAACTGTGCGTTGGAACGTCTAATGCACGACGGTGGTTCTTCCTTTAATTGGATGATACGTTCTTTTTTTTGATATTACTTAACTGGGTGAGTTTCACCGCTATTCCATCCCTGACTGAATGGGTGAGTCGGAGAATTAGGGAAGCTTTTTTAGGTAGTCATACTCTCCTTCTTTACTGTAGTATGCTTCATTCATTTTGGCTATAGCATATTTTTTTATAGGTTTCAACTTTAGTGCTACGCATTTTTTATTTAGAATAGTTTCGAGACTTGTAACTGCAGAAATATAATAGGTAGTTAATCTAATCAATTTACAGTAAACATGTTTGCTCTCATTTAAATGATTTGAACGATAGATTGGCTGAACATAGACGGTGTAGTGAATCATAATTTACTTGCTATCATAAGAACAATTAAAAATTCAGTTTATTTGAATTTATTGAAAGAACAGATTAAGTTAACCATAACGATATATTTCTTCGGTTCGCCATTCTCTAACTCACCAATTCAATGATCCTTAAACCTTCATGACCAAAGAATGCGCAAATTCCCAATAATGTTGCCTGCCAATTTACTGCAACAAAATAAAAGATACGGTATGTAACTGATCTCTCAAAAATCTTTTAATCGCCTGGAAACGATAATGTGGCTAAAAAATCCAATAAAATGAAGCATTGGAGCGGTATGTTCATACAAAATGAATAAATTAGCAAGCAGACCAGTATCGAGATCGAGCAGCTGAACGCCCGCGTGGTCGAAGCGGAGACGAAGCTGAAGACCGAGGTGCAACGCGTGAAGAAGAAGCTGCAGATCCAGATTACCGAGCTGGAGCTGTCATTGGACGTCGCCAACAAGAACAACATCGATTTGCAGAAGACTATCAAGAAGCAATCGCTCACCTTGACCGTAAGGAATAATCGACTCAATAATTCAATTATAAGCGTGTCGCATTAATTATTCATTGTAAAGGTAACGGTGAAAGTACTCGAAAATCAACACAGAAACTATAAATTTTGTTTATAATTTTCAGGAACTCCAAGCTCACTACGACGAAGTCCAACGCCAACTGCAGGTAACCTTGGATCAACTGGGTATCAGTCAACGACGCTTGCAATCGTTGACAGCCGAACTTGAGGAAGTACGCGGAAACTACGAATCTGTGAGTATTTATCCAAGTACAAATCAGATCTATTTTTACCAGTTTTTTGAAGTATTCAAGTGAATTGATGTTCAAGGAGAAGTAGGCACATTGAACTTTGTTATCAGAATCATCTCTTCAAGATGATGTTGCATTATGTTCATGTTACATTTTGTAATATAAAATGGGAGAATAGGAACCAATCATTTTGACTGGTTGATAGTTTCAGTGTTAAAGATCTGATCTCAATAATAAAACTTCATATTGTTCCTCTTCTGAAAAATACCACGAGTAGACTCGAATCAGTTTGGTTCTCAGGTACAAGTCCATATTTAGATCTGAACTTATTGTTAGAGTCAAAACTACAGTCAGTAAATTAATTGCATTTGTAGTATAATTATTGTAGTTGTTCGCATACTTAGTATATTAACTACATTACAGTCCTATGAACAATATATCACCTTAGTTCCTTTTAGTTAATTTATTTTCGTCCATTAAGGAAGATACACTTGACAAAGTTCGCGTCTACAGTCTTGTTAGCTCAACAACTTCTATATTAATACATAAATACTATTACAAATATATATCAGTATATAAAAATATGTTATTGAATTTTTGAAAGGCCCTGCGTGCGAAGAGAACCGTCGAACAGCAATACGAGGAGTCGGTCAGCCGCATCAACGAGTTGACCACCATCAACGTGAACATCGCCTCATCGAAGGCAAAATTGGAGCAAGAATTGGCTACCCTGGCTGGTGATTACGAGGAAGTTACCAAAGAACTGAGAGTGAGCGACGAGAGATATCAGCGAGTACAGAACGAACTGAAACACACCGTGGAAATCCTTCACGAAGAACAGGAACGCATCGTGAAGATCGAGGCCATCAAGAAGTCACTGGAAATCGAAGTGAAGAACCTATCCGTGCGATTGGAGGAAGTTGAAGCCAACGCTATTGTTGGAGGCAAACGAATCATCAGCAAACTCGAAGCTAGGGTAAGATAACACGCCGCAATATTTAAAAAATTTATTCTCCTTTGAGAATATTGGTTTATGTATAGGAGAAGAGTTGACGTGTAGTTAACTAGGGAAATAATAAGCGGTTGTTTAAGGGTAAGGTTTTGAAAATTCAGGAATTCTCAATTTTAGAAATTTAGTAATTTGAGAACTTGAGAATTGGGAAAATTTGAAAAGTTGGATTTCTTAAAGTTTGGAAATTTGTAAAATTTGGAAATTGAGAATTACTGGAATTAGGAAATTTGGGAGTGTAGGAATGTGAGAATATGGAGATTTGAGAAGGTGAAGATTCGATAATATGGAGATTTGAGAATGTGGAAATTTGAAAATTTAAGAATTTGGAAATTTTGGAAACGTGGAGTTTGGAAAACTTAGAAATTTGAAAATTTGGGAATGTGGAAATTTCAGAATATAGTAATTTAGAAATTTGCAAATAGAAAAATTTGTGGACTTGCGAGTTCAAATTCTCTCAAATTTCTCAAGAATTCAGAAATTTCCCAGCTAATTAAAAATCTTCAAAAATACATCCAAACCATAACTCAGTACAATTACTATTTATAACAGCAACCGTATAAAAGATTCTTCCAAAAAGCTTCCTAAGTAAAAACTACTAAAATCACTTACACCTTCAGAAAAAGACAATATTATTTTGTAACAGATTCGTGATCTGGAGCTGGAGTTGGACGAGGAGAAACGTCGGCACGCGGAGACCGTGAAGATCCTGCGCAAGAAGGAGCGTAACATCAAGGAGGTGATGATCCAGGTCGAGGAGGACTCGAAAAACATTGCTTTGTTGCAAGAATCATTGGACAAGGCGAACCAGAAAGTGAGCATCTACAAGAGGCAGCTGCAAGAACAGGAAGGCATGTCCCAGCAGAGCGTGACCAGGGTTCGCCGATTCCAAAGGGAACTGGAAGCAGCCGAGGACCGTGCTGACACCGCCGAAAGCAACTTGACTTTGATCCGCGCGAAACACCGCAGCTTCGTCACCACCTCCACCGTGCCCGGTTCTCAGGTGTACCTCGTCCAGGAGACGAGGAGTGACCTGTAAAAACAACACCGCCGTCGACACCCCACCCTTTGCCACTTCGAACGCCACCTCGTCGTCTCTAGAAACGTAAGCCCTCCATTTTGTACCTTCATCTACCTCCATCTTATTAACACTTCACCATTGGATTCGTACATGGATGACGCCACAATTTCCATATGAGTCAGACATCTATATTACTCAAAATGTATTCATTTACATTTGCATACAAGTTATCAATATTATTGAAAATTTTTAGATTTTGTAACCGTGGAAATTTAGTTTGGAAACTATGGAATTTTTGTTTTATTGTAAATTTAAGGTTATGTTGCCATATTTGGAAGGTTTTATATGTGCAATAGTGGCAATCTCTTGGTGCCAATATAATGACAACCAACTATATTGTGGATCGTAATGATGTATCATATATTTTGTAAAATTTGAACATTTGTTTTAATTTCTCGTTCTATTATATTTTCAAGGATACATATAATGATACTGTTATTGTAAAGCAAACTTGTGCATAGCGACATAAGCTATAATTGTGGACAATATACAACATACATATAAATAATGAATATGAATATTTGTGTATAAAAAATATGAGAGTATTGCAATTTTCGCAGGTGTAACGAGCAAACGACGAACCAAAGGAAGAGCCTCAACAAATCATCGTAAATTAAAAAACAGGTCGAGAAGAGTTTCCAACGGATCGTCACGAGCGTCGTTTCATAAAATGAAAAAAACAAAGACCGAAATTAAAGGAACGCCACCCTGTTAAAAATCAAACGACAGCGCCCAACGATCCGTCGCAAATTCGAGAGAACTTGACCAACGAATCGCGGTACCCGTCGCAACGAAAAAAAATCCAACGGCAAAGTAACGCGAACATCGAAAACAATCATCGTGTGAACTCGCAACCGTCGTTATTGGATTAAATAAGAAAAATCAATTATGCTATACATACATAATATATATGTTATTTATATCATACATACGTTAAGAATCAAGAGCAATTCGTTGTATCTTCCTTGTATCTATTATGCGAGCACCACGAAGCGTGAGGAGTGAAAATATTGTTAATAAATAAATAATTAAAAGAAAGAACCGGTTATAATAATTTAAAGAACGCGAGACGTGATGATTGTACTCCTTACGCTTCTCCGATCGTACTTGTATTTAAATGGATTAACTTTAATTCTACTTCTATTATTATCTAGATAGGTACTATTGCCCATACACACAACTCTCGCTGTACGACATACACAAATAACCTGTGTCAACGATAATTTAATAAATAAACTGAAACACGTACGTACGAAATCGATGACATCCCCTGGCACACAGGAAGTTAGACTTCTCCCGTGTACACTCGATTGCAAATCTAGTTTCCCTGGGGAAAATGGGGGCCGGATGAGGAACAACACCTGTTATAACTCCTAAACTTTGGCACGCGCTGAGCCCCGTCAACAGTTTCGAAATTAATAAATAATAATGTTTTTCGCAACTACGTGTCTATTTATGTGAACAATTT